ACGAGACTCTTACAGCAATATTTATCTTTGATTCTGTAATCTCTTCGACCAAAACAATATAATATGGTGTAGTCATGTATTGACCGTTTGATTTTCCAGCTGCTGCCTATTACTTTATCATGTTAAATTATTTAATTATACATTTTAATCGATGACAATTTAAAAACGAATGCAATACCTTATTGAATACGGCGATATAGTACATTGTTTATGCATCGTTATAGATTAATTTTTCGTTTGGAATCGTTTTTATATGCCTATACAATTTTGTTTAAGTATCTAGTGAGACTCGTGTGATTGGACAATGTACAACGTTTGAAGGAGAGCATCCTTTCATATCGCATAGAACAAAGTTTTCTCTTTAATATTATATTTTAGAGTTGGGTGGCCAACGTATAGTTTGTCTACAACACAACATTTATATATTTTATAGTTTATAAGTAGTCAAGTAGATATAATAAAAAAAAGGATCCATAATTCCTGATTTTTGAAAATGAAATAATTTATTATTCAATAAACGATAGGTACCTGATAAGTTAATAATCCATTAGATTTGTGTTTTACATCAGCCAAATTCAACATAATTTCTTAAACTTTTAACATTACACAATATTAAAAAAATATAAAAACAATTGTATCACTATCATTTTTAAGTAGTTATATATACCTAAACTTAGAGGCTGTAATCTAATTCCCAATATTAATTCTCAATGAACTTATAATCAGCTTAATTTCAAATCTGAGGTGCGGCTAATGAAGGTCTTCTCGTTGGCCATTCTTACGACTGCAGTGCTGTATAAGTAATATATTATGCTAATTATTACAACACATATTTTGCATATTTCAGCTAGTCACTAGCATGCATAAACATTATAAACCTCATAATATCTTTTAAGAGTACCCAGTTTATCCATTCAATCGCCTTGTCTTGCCCGTTATGGTCTAAATTTGATATTATTACTAATGAATATAATATATGTAATCTGAAATTATTTTTTTTTACTTTTTACCATATTTATTTTTTAAGTGTTTAACTCTTTTGAATGACAACATACATTTTAAATTTCATATTCTGAAGCAAAATATTATTCGGAATATTTCAATATATACAAATCCAATTCCGTACAAGTAGGTAGTTAATTAGTTATAACTTACAAATTTAATGTAAATAAAGTATTGATGAGTGGAGTAGAAAGACCAAATCTTGAGAAATACGCCTGTAGTACCACTCATCTAAACTTTAAATTAAATACTTATAAGTTTATAACTCAAAAGCTATTCGTCCAAATTCCGATTTTTATGAGTGCTCCAAACAATATTCTGCTTTGGAATAAAGAATATAAAATACAAATGTTGTCATTACATCAAAGGAATAAAATTTAAAATTGATAACGATAATAACGTTGTATTTTAACGGCCTAAAATTTTTAAGTTTTAACAGTTTTGTAAATAATCAGTGTAGTCTTGAGTTAAACGGATCATCCAGTGTATAATACTGACCTCCGCAGTAAAAAGATTAAAAACCAATATATCGCAATGATATTTTATAGATACCTACCATACAACTGATACTATAATTCCTTATAATAGTGAAGTGCAATAGTGTGAAGAGTGGCGATGACGAGCTAGCGACGCCACCTTCGGCAGGCTATAAAATCAATAGTCTTATCTGAGCAGGCGGACGCACATCTTATCGGTACACTGTTCCGCCGATGATATAACAATAATATAATATAATATTATTAATATTACACGAGCTCGAAAACTAACAGCAATTATGCACGCGATCAAAGTAATATACAATAATATAATCGGTGTGGCAAACAGCAGCGGACGAAAACCAGTCGAAGACGGAGAGGTTATCGCGCCGACCGGCCGCCGAAATGATGATGATGATGATGATGATGCTCGGAAAGCCGGTTCTAGCATGATGATTATTATTATTTTATGTTTTACCAAAACAACACGCGTTGGTATTCTCTGGTCCCTGGTGTATCAAAATATAAAACAATTCATATTATAATTTTCTTTCAATGTCATGTACAAACGCGATATAGGCGTACGATTCAGCACTTTGGTCGCAGCTGACAAAAATAGACGGTTTCCAAAAATATAAATGCCCCCAAATAAATAAATGCCCATACACCATAATAGTATTGCCTTACAAAAATATACTGTTACTATTATCATTGTTACTGCTTTTGATTGGAAAATACATAATATATACTTATTGAACCTAATACCTACCCCTAATATTATTAGGTTTTCTAGCGTTGTTGAAACATTTTTTTATAAAAATGTATTTATCGAACGTAAATACCGATCATATGTACTCTTTATTCGTCGATTTTTGTATTCTACTAAGAGTAGTTATTTTTTAAACTCACATACCATCGAACTAAGTGTCTTTACCCAGCCCACAGGATGTGCAAACGCATGCCTACGTTTTTATGTTACTATTATTACAAACTCGACCGAAGCGCGCACTGCGCTCATGTTTTGAGTTCGGCCATAGATATTGACCTACAACTGCAGAAGTCGTTGCAACTTGCAAGACATATACCGCCGCCGCGATGTTGTCGGTCTTCGATATCGTAACCCGAGATCGATAATAAATAATAATAATAATAATAATAATATGTATTTGCTACGGTGACGGCGGCAGCAGTGCAGTTATCCGTGGCCGGTGGGATATCGAATTTTGTCAGGGGGGAAAAACAAACACAATATCATTCAATCGTGGGTGTGGGTGTACATGTCAACTTTTGTTGGCAAATTATTTTCCGTTGACTATATACGAAATCCCGCTCGCAGACCTACACGTAAACACGTTAGGTATATAAAAATGGTATAATAATATTGTACCATACCTTATGAGATGACGATAATAGTAATAATAGTATTCCGACGGCCCGGTAAATAATATTATTCTCATTGGTTCTCATGCTTATTATAATATTATATAATATATTATATTTTACGAGCAACGAGTTACGGTATAATATTATTATCTGGAAAAACTTCTCACACGGGCGATGGTCCACGGTAACGCGTTTTATTGAGGTAACCGGTTTTCTGGTATGTCGCGCGCGCCGTCGCCATCGTTTCGCAACCGCTCGTAATAATATTGGACTCAATGGCTAGTAATCCGTGCACTGATTGATCGATATTACTTGTGAGTTGTGATCGTTTCGATCCTTCATCGAACAATAACGATATCCCTTCATTAAAATAACATAAGGTGTAACGTTTTTGTCATAAGATGGACTTTCACCCGGTATCGTCGTGTCTTGTCTTTTTTAACGATCATCATGATAATAAGCCGTTGAGCTATGCTCGAAATGAAGGGAAAAAAATTTAAAGGAAAGCATGCAAAAATATGAGGAAAATGTGTTTTGTCTAGCTGATGCCTAATCTCTTTTCTTCAGCGGGCCACATTAGTAAGATTTATTGCCTTTTTCCTCGCATAAACTTAATACAATTAAATAATAGATCCTGAGATTAACGGATTAATCGTCTAAACTCGCAGGCCATCATTATACAATGAAATTTAACACAAATTACACAATAAATTATATATTGTAAGTTGTTTCTTTTTTTTAATATTTATATTATAAAAAATGTTTGGATCATATTATCTATGAATTAAATATTATTTTTACACAATTGAAAAAAAAGGAAATTTTTAGAAAATGTATTGAATATTTTTTTAACACTAAAATTTGCAGCGGGCTACAGGTTGGACATCGCTTGACTACGATAATATAATAATATTAGAAGGGAAATGCAAAAGAGTAAGAAAAATGTACCTGAATATTTAAAATATGTTTTTTACTAGGATATATATTATATACCTGATATTATAGAAGTGGCAAATGTATAAAAACGCATGTCATAACCATGTAAAATTCAAAACTGAGATGTCCGTTTCCATTCACGTTGAACATTTTTTTTCAAAACTATTATGGCATAAATGTACTTGCAAACAAAATAATGCTCTTTAATTTAATAATGTTAGGTTTATGTTATTTGGACCTTATTACAACGACATTCCAAAATGTGTTTAAAACACATTACATAATAATATAATGGTGGGTGTTTATGATTAGTTAAACTTTGTCAAATCCATTTATACATTTACCCCAGTCGCTCCATATTTTTTAAAAACAAGAAGAGAGACTCTCCACGATCCTCCTCAATTAAATTTGATTTATTCCCCCTCCGTAATAATAATACGGTGTACGTTGGTCACAAAATGCCGGTTTTCGTGGAATATAATCTTAATAATAATAATAATAATATATTCTTATTTCGACTGTCGAACCACAGCACGATGCGTGGGAAGCTGCAGGGAAGGCCCGTTTGCCGTGGTCGTATCGTTCCTATCTCAATATACAAGAATCACGCATACAACGAGTTTGCGTGCAGCGCACTCCAAAACTGTTATCTTAAAACAAAATGTACGGTAGGTAAATGTAGTATGTTTGTGACTCGTAGTATATAAGTACACTTGACCGATTTTGTTAAAATTTCAAACCATTTTTGGGGAACTCGGGTTTAATGGTATCGATGCGGATTGAGATTACGATAAGTCCACTGGAAGAAAAAAAAACGCCAGCTAGATATTGAATGACGACTAATCATTGAACTCGGATTTTGAATCGTACAGGTAGAGTTGGTATTTTCAACGGGCAACGGATATAGTGCACGGGATAATGAATTACAATATTTTTATTGTTATTATTATTATTATCATCGTTATTATTGTACGACAGACTGTCCTCAGCGAGCAGGCCCAAGTGGCCAGAGTGGCGACCGCGGCGGGCGGCTCCCTTAGACCGTATAATATTCGGATACGTTTGAAAACCACATAATATTGTGCGCCGCTCGCCGCCGCCTCCTACCAGCGCTGCCACCCGAACACGGTTACACAACGGAGGCGACGAGCACACGGCCGCCGAGCCCACGCTGACGCCATAATATCGTACCGGCGGACCGCGCGCGTTTCAATGTTAGCCAGCCGCACCGCAACCGCCGACGTCGAACGGTCGCTGTTCGTAAAATAATATTATATTTTGGATGGACGTTCGTGTCCCCCGCCGGACTGTTTCGAATAACGACAGTTAAGACGACTGTATAGTGTGAACGAGAAAAACGATCGACGGCAGTCGTAATTACCTATTATTACGCGCGAAATACACCGTTCGCGGGCTTACGCTTAATAATACCTATTAAAATAATACAACGATTCTACTATTATTGTTGTTATGATAAATGCTGAGGTCGAGGCGCGCGACGGATAAAACGTAACCGGCGAAATTAATTCGTACTACTCACGTGAGCTCGTCATCGTCGTAGCATAATTATTATAATAATATTATTATACTTTGGTGAAAAAATTAAACCCACTACGACGACAGTAATATTATGGTAAATATTTTCATCCACCTATATATTATAATATATCATCCTGTGCATAATATCTATTTATTTTTACGCTTTACATAATATATAAGTACACCTATTATATATTATTATTACTGCAGGTCATTATACATATTGTAGTCATATATAGATTAACTGTTTACACCAATTTTATATTAATAATTATATGGCCGCTGTATTATTATACCATTAATACTGCTATTTACTAATATAATATTATATATTTATATGGTACACGGTTTATGCCGCGAATCGTAATACAGATAGACGGTGTTATCCGTCGCATATTTCGTCGCATTTATGCTTTCCAGTGTTTCGATAGCGTCCCTAAAGGCCATAAACAGTGTGTGGACGTGTGGTCCGTGTTTCTTGTTATTCGCCAAATTGAATAATATTGTTTGGGCAAAACGATTTCACTGTAATATAATCATTAATAACCAATTTAAATAATCGCCTAACCCATGGCGGAAAAGTTTTGAATGTTCATCTGTTCGGTATATATTGTGCGGTAAGCCGTTGACCACATGGAATACGGGTAAATTAAAAATAATAATGATATGTTGTGTGGACTGAGTAAATATATATTGTTGGCCTTGTGGTCGTTTTCGACCAAAAACTTACCTTCCCTTTTAGGCAGATTCACTTTTTAACTAAATTAAAGAAAAGTGAACTCGACAAGTCAGAATTGAATACAATTTTTTAAAACTCAGAGCAAACCATACCTTCAAAATACGGGAATTTTTTGTTGAAAAAATAACGATATCAAAAACCAAAATCATATCCCCTTTACTAAAAAATAAAAATAATAAATTCTGTATAATATTCAAATATCAATATCTCAAAATTCTTTCACTTAAAACTTATTTATTTTGAAATAAATAAGCTTCTTGACCCAATACTATAATAATATATCTAATACTATAATATAATCTTAATGTTTTTTCATTATCATTATCATTTCTTAAGAACACCTGACAAATGAAATAATATATATTTTTTTAAATTATTTAATCCCAAATTAGGCTGATTTTTGTTAATTCGTACAAATTCTTCAATCATTAAATATTCGTACCTATGTATAAAATATATTATCCAAGTACCTACAATTATTTGCTTAATTAATTTTCCTGATCTCATAATATCATGATTACTATTGCACGCAACTTCGTAATATTTTAAATAGTATAATTTAATGCTTGTTTACTTTACAATAGGACTCAATCTGAACATAAAAAAATGGGGGAAAATATATCGTTTAACTGACTTTTGGACGTAATCGACGACCTTCGAATAAATATAATGGTAGGTTAGCATATGGTAATAATACGCAACATCAACTTACCTTTATTACGAGTGTACTAAACTATTCACTGTGAGAATGGGTAGGTACACTATCAGTACCTATATAAAGGAGCTCAAACACAAAAAATACATTTTTTTAATTTGAAAGAATATTCAATTCTAAAAATAATGGTATAGAGTATAGACTATAGGTTTAACATTTTTACTCATATTATTTAATAAGTTATGAGTTATGACAGAATGAATTTGAAGAAGAGGTTTGACGTCTTAATGTCGTACATCTTATACGTAATACGTGTAAAAGCTACTTGCTTCCCACATTAATTTACTTAAGTACCTTTAAAGTATATTTTTGAATTTTTGTTGTACGGATGTGATATGTTTTATGCTCTGAAGACGTTGTTGGAACCAGAATTAGTCTGGAGTGTTTAGTTTTTTTGAAATATTTAAAATCTTTTAAAAGAAATTGCTGTTGTTTTTGCTACGTATACCTACGCCTTGAAATGCAACAGTCGCTTATCGAGACATGGTGCAAATCAAACATCAAAAATTACATTTTTTAATAGGTAAATCATTGTGTAAATATATCGAGTCCAGCTCAATGACATCACCCGGTCATTCTTATATCTGCTTAAGTCATATTTTTTTTTACATTGAAATTCGACCAAATCATTTTTTATAGTTCTAACTTCAGATAATTTAATATTAAATAATAATTTGAAGAAAACATATTTTTGTGTTGTGTTTTTTTTTTTTGTTAGTTCCTTTAATATACTTTTAATATATTGTAAGTACCAATGCTATAATCCTAAACTTGGTCATTACTATTTGATAATATTATTTATTTACATTATTTTAGATTTTTTTTTTAATATGTCATATTGTCACTACTACATAATATTTTAATAATATTATTAATGTTTATCCATACTTACCATATTATATTATTACATTTCTGTTGTCATTCAATATTAAAATAACACATCGACAGGATCGTGTTTAATATTGAAATATTTTAAATAAAGATTTGCAGATTATTAAAGTAATAAATAATATAAAATAAATAGAACCACCCAAAAATAAAAATATTAAACACTAATTATTTTAAGTTATTAACTTTCAATTGCAATACTTGATAATTTTATTAAAGTATTAACATATACTTTTACTCAAATACGTAGGTACTTGACAACCCACTGAGCACGTGTATGTGGTTGAGTAATGTCACATTACCTACTGTGCGTACATACATGTACAGTGTACACGTATTATTAATTATTATTAGTATAGTAATAGTAACTATTAGAGTAGTAGTAGTAGTAGTAGTAGTAGTAGTAGTAGTAGTAGTAGTAGTAGTAGTAATAGTAGTAGTAGTAGTAGTAGTAGCAATATTATCGTATATTATAATATAGTGATGTAACTGCTTAACAGTCGTAATCGAACGGAGAGAAAAAAAATATTAATAACTACAACTACAGTACCTATAGTGATAGTATGATAAATATAAGACGTTGCACAATAATTTTCAAGAGACGAGTTGTGATGGAGTGCACTCTTCGATTGAACGATCAGTTATACGTGTTGTGTTGGTGTTTCACGTAGACTGTAGTATAATATAGCTGCGTCTAATATATTAATATGATTTTTTGACTATCGTAAAATATATATTATATTAAAAGTTACTTTTTTCGTTCCGCTCTCCGTCTTTTGGTCTTCACAACACCCGAGTGGTCGTTTTTCGCAGTACATATACACAAGATACCTATCCTAGCTTAACTTAAATTAATTTGTATAACAATATATTATCATACCGCAGCAGCGGTCACTGCTAACAATACGCGTTTTCGTTCATTTTCTCCGATTCCGTGATTTATGGCATTTAACAAGTCGCGCGCGTACAAGCACAAGGTGCTATTGGAAAGTTCTTCCGATGACATAGACTTTTCGGTGAGTATTTCGTATTTTCGTCCTACAAATGGACCTGCACTGTATAATAAGACGCAGCTATACAATTATTAATACAACACAATATAATATTGTGTATTTACGTTTAGGACCTTTCGACAATTGAGATTTTATTATTTTAGTATAAAGTATAATTATTATTATAGAAATAGGTAAATCTTGCGCACAAGTACGTGTGTGCGCTTTCGCGCATTTTATATTATATAATACTTTAAGGCTGTTTTCGTTAATTAATTATAATTTCTATACATAGTGGCTAGTAAAACGTGTCCTCTCGCCCTTAATTCTATTTGCTAGTAACATTTTTTTGCGGTGTCCATTACGATATAATATATATATATATTATAGGTAACCTATAAGTATATTATGTCGTGTGTACGTTCTGCCTATATATTGATTGAAACCATATATTACAGCGGTAGTTGATGAACCGTAATACAACAAATGGTTATAATCTTAAGCCAAAGTTCCAAAACTTTCGTGTATATATTGTTTTGCCATCAATAATGACACGCACCAACTTCCTGTGTTCAAAAATATTGTACCTACTTTTGTAAAAGTACATTTTTTAAAATCCATAATTGAATCTTTACATCATATTATTATATATTCATTTAATTTGTATTATATTTTCTACACCTATAATTAATTCAAATAAATTATGTCCGCTTGACAAAGATAAAAATTAAAAACTAATATTCAGAAAAATATTGACGTCACAATTGCTTGCTCTATACAGATCATGAAAACAAATTTGATTATTATTATTATTTATTACTTAATAGTTGATAGTAGGTATTATAATTAATAGTAATAAATTATTATTTATATTACATATTTATATGCATGCATAATATTAAAATATTGTAATCCTGTTTATGTTTTTTTTTAAAGCACATAATATAAATCCATTGAAAATACGATTCAAAAATTGAACCTTTAAAAATTAAAATATATTAAATATGTATATCGTATATATTTATTTGGGATCTAGTTATATAAGAATAATATTACATAATTGCTTAATACTGTTGAATATTTATTAATTATAAGTTGACATTTATAAAATAAGAAGTGACATACTGACATGACGTTAGGTTCTTCGTTAGATCTTTGCGGAGACGAGTATATGATTATTTATATATAATGTAAATTAAATATAAATTATACATATATATATATATATATATAATATTGTTTTTTCAAGAATATTATTGGTGTGATAAAATATATATATATCATAAAAACAAATCGAAAGTATACGCACTAGTGCATTTATTAAATTATCGAAGGCGTGGGGAAAAAAGATCGATACGTTTTACGAGATGTAATAGACGTAACAGGAAAACTCATTCCTTAAGTGGAGAACCTATATAAAAAATTAAAAACTACATTTAATATTAAAAACGAGAAAACACATGTGAATTCAAACTCTTGTTTTGCATACATTATTGTTTTATTACATAATAACCACTATTGCATTTACTTCGCTAGGAGGACTACGCATAGACTAGTAGACTGCCCATTTTTCTTATGAAATTCATGCAATTTATTTCCATAGAATATGAATATTTTATACTTCAGATGTTTGTTGATTATTTTTCCAAATACTTATTTTTATAAGTATATAATTTAATAATGTATTTGTTTTATGTGAGCATATCGAAGAACCATAATCTCATTTAAATTCGTTTTAAATAATAGAACACCTGCCAACTTCAGACCTATTATTATAATATTATTACTATTATATTACTGACTAGTGACTATCTACCTATACTGAGAAGTAAATAAATAGATAAACTTCATTATTTTCTTATGTTATAAAACAAAATAACTTAAATACTAACATTATTAAGAACAAATTGAATTAATGATGTACCTTCGAATTTATTTGCTGAATAAGAATTTTGTACATATTTTATTTATTATTTCGTTCATGTAGGTTAAAGTGTAAGACTTTTTTTGGACATTTTCGGAAGGTCTGAGACTTTATTTTTTGAACTTAATATGGTTAGGTACCTTCAATATAACTATGATATAATGTACACAGACATAGCGCTTATTGCATATGAGTGCAATTTAAAGGTTAATAGTTTATTTGTTTTTTGGACTTTTAGGTATAGATTTATTATGATGGTAGTATGTATAGGTACAAAAATATATTCACGCGTGCACATCAATAAGGCGTGCATCATGGCTCATATTATCTATGATTATGAATTAATTATCTCTATAATTTATTTATTACTGAATCTGAGCATCGTATTTTGAAACTTTTCTAGTGTTGTATTTATAGCTTCTTTGCAATAGCATATTTTATAACATATTTAGGTCATCATTTTAGTGGTCCGAGAAATAAGTAGGTACCTTCAATACCGAAAGTAAACTATCTATAACTACGTTAATAACCGCTATAGATAACAATGACATTATTATGATTAATATTTAATGCAAATCTAATTAGGTAGATATATAGGTATATATACAACGGGCGATTAAGCACTTTGTGTTTTGTGTCTTTCGCTATCATAAATCATTGGGTATCGACGGTATCGCAATGGTTTTGAATTCTAATCCATATAATCTATGAAATGCTAAAATGTTAAATAGCAGTAATTTATCAATTTATCATAGTATACAAATACTGAAATATACAACTGCGTTTTAAATAATGATAATACCTGTAATAATGGATGATTTAATCGAAAGGCAAAATCATAATATTCATAATTCGAATTCAAAGCGATGATGGTCACCTGCTTTATTATTTTATAAGTTTTAATTACTTGTAAAATGTTAACATAAATAAAATATTCGCAAAACAACTGCCCATTAACGTGCACCTATCTATATTTTGATAATATCGTAGATAAATGGTTTCATATCAAGGTCATAAAATATGAATATTATTATGTGTATCAACATTGAATGATAAATCATCGTTTATATAGTCCTCAACCAAAATATAATCAATCTACTAGAATTGTAACAAATCGTTAATGAAACTCGTACCCGATAAAACGGTTTGCAATGCATATACCGTAGGTGTTACGTATAGGTTAAAGTAAAGATGAAAATAAACGACACAAATTTATCATAGTAAATTATATTTAAATAAAAATATTCGACATCATGATATACAGGTGACTAACTAATTACCAAAAATGCTCAAACCCCATTTTTCCTTTAATAATTAACTAATTAAAATTCTGATTCTTGGGATTTTTAAATACTTAAGTGTATACCTAACCTACTTAAAGTTCATATTTTCAAATTCTTGAGATTTTTTGAGATGTATCCTCTATAGCGATACAAACTTCTGTTTTTAAAATTAAAATACCTCTTATTTTCTTAATTACTGCGTTATTAAAGAAATAAGGGGTGAACACAATGCTTGTTGCATCACCCTATATATTAGATAATATTATTATGTTAACCATGAGCTGTTTTTGTTATGTTTTCCTCACAGTCGAGAAATTCATCATTGGCGCCTACAGAATACCTGTTCAAGATTTTAGTCATCGGTGAACTTGGCACCGGTAAGACTTCCATAATCAAACGTTACGTGCACAAATTCTTCTCTCAACACTACCGCGCGACGATCGGTGTAGATTTTGCGTTGAAATCACTAGAATGGGATTCGAACACCGTCATCCGGCTACAACTATGGGACATTGCTGGTGAGCATAATAATACCTATGTTAATAAAAATTATTTTTGTTTTGGGCAAGCGTATGACATCATGTGTTTCCCATAAGATTAATAAAAAAAAACGTAAAAATATCCGGAACGGTTGGCCTGGACTACCACGTATTATTATATATACCTATTTTTTATGTACCTCAAAGTTCAACTCTAACAACTACTCCTTTTTACGTTCCTCGTGCGACCACGAATCTTTAGTTAAACGATCTACTAAGACGATTAATTGCAGATAAACGCCAATGTAGACCTACACATTTTTAATTTATATTTTTAAACCTAAATTATTTTTTTTTCTTTCTCTTTTTCTTTTAATTGTGATTAAAATCGTTAAAAAATATAAAACACATAGTTTATTTCGCACTACAATATTTGTTACAGCAGGTTTGAGTTATTAATCGAGTTATTAATATAACTGAGCATGTTATAATGAGCATGTACGTATTTAAATATTAAATCAATGTAATTACAAATTATACATAGCCACATAGATACCTAAAAAGGGCTGAACCTTTGAAAAATAAATACATTTTGGGAGGAAAACTGTTGGTTACCTGCGGTGGTGCAAATTACAAACTCTCCAACTGTATTATATCTATTCTACAGATTATCGTCTATACCAGTTGCACACCGGTTGAGAACCACTGGTCTATTGCCCTATTGGTCTATACATTATGTGTTTAATGCTTTCTTATATTATAAATTATAAGTTATAACACATATATAGGTATTGTATTATAACTGTCTACCCCCCCCCCCCTTATGGGTAGTGAATTCGTTATTACTTTTTTAGAGGAAATAAAATCTTAAATATTACAAGAAAATATTAAATATTTTGATGTTTTTATCTACAACTAGCTATTTATTTGGATAATGTAATTTTTATGACCAGTTTAGCTAACTTGACAGTTGTAATTACCTATATTATAAGCATTACTTAACATTTTTTTAAAATAATTAATGTAAAGACTATATGTTGATGTTTAACTATAGTTTTATAAAAATTTTTTTTTTGCAAGATAAACATCAGTTTACTTTAATTTTTCAATTTTCAAATATTTAATTTAATCGTGATGCTTTGAAAGTTGTATAGTTATATAAATTCGATAATATTTTAGCCTATTTATAGTACCTACGTAGTTGTATCGTTTTAAAGTTATTTCTTTATTATTTGACAAATATGTAGGTATTCATATAAAATCTTGTTCCTAAAAAAGGAAAATCGTTCTCAATTTTGTTTTCTATTTTAAAAAATGTTTTTTCCAATAATTTAAAAGTTTGTAAGACCGATTGTCCCAATCATCGAAAATTTTATTTAGCTATAATTTATTGCGAATTGTATGTACGAATTACAGGTCAGGAACGATTCGGGAACATGACCCGGGTGTATTATAAAGACGCACTAGGAGCATTCGTAGTTTTCGACGTCACTCGACCAGCTACTTTTGAGGCAGTGGCCAAGTGGAAACAAGACTTGGACGCAAAGGTCTCGTTGGAAGACGGATCACCGATACCATGCGTCTTACTTGCAAATAAAGTAAATATATTAATTTAATAATGTATATTCAAATTGTAAATATGGGTACCTACTACCTACTTAAGCATTTCAAAATGTACGATAGAAAAAATCCTTCAATTTTCAACTTCAATGTCTTTTCTGATAGGTACTTGTAAGGGGAGGATTGTTTACTTTTCTCAATAATTGGAAAAAAGGGGAATTTTTACACGTAATCTGCAGTTTTTTAGAAAAGTCGATTTCCACTTATTTTTAGTAATTCAAAAACGAATATTTCAATTCTTTTTAAGCTATTTCTGTTGACATTTTCAATTTTTTTTAGTTTATTTTCCTTAACCATCGATAAAATATGTTCGTTCTGTCAAAAAGCTTGACAATTTAATACAAAGTTCCGCATAAATTTGTATTACTGGAATTAAAAAAAAAATTGAGGGTCATTCCACAAATATTTCTATGAGCGTCTGCAATTTAAATGTGGTCGGCTCCCATTTTGCCGCTGTTTAATTTCACCGAATTAATTTTATCGCCGTCCCATTTAGTCTAATTTATTTTTCCCGTAACTTAATAGAACTTATAAACTACGAATTACGTACTCATTAATTAAGTTTATGTATTTGTATTTATTTGAAATTGCCTACACCATTATTAGGTACATTTTATTAAGTCATAAATTCGATAATTGCATAATATAATAATACAAAAATAAAATAGTAATCATATAATATATAATAAAAGTTTTTTTTTAATTAGTTATAACTATTCGTTATGTTTAATTAAATTATTAATATTGTCTAAATAATCAATCTATTTCATCTGTGGATGATAGCCTGTCACTCTCCCCTTAAGACAGTAAATTCTTTGTTTGAGTTTAACATATTTATTGTAAATCTTTTTAACTTGTTTTCCGCGTATTAGAGGAGTTTCATGAGGAATTCATCAAGCAATAACTTCAGAATTCAGTTAGTATAATACTAAGATGTTTCAAATGATAAATATTTCACTTTGTCTATTTGCCGCTTTACGAATTATAAGTTCACCGCCATGTTTTAAAACAAAAATATTTTGAGAATTATGCTGCGAAATGGGATTAATTTGGCAGCGAAACGAAACGGAGGTAAAACGGGATACGACCTTAAATGTTAATTACTGCAAGATATTCACAGGTTTTTTCACAACAATTTCTCAATAATTGATTTTAGTTTTTTTGTCGCAATCAAAAAAGTATTAATCGTGGAAAATTGAAACATTCCACTGGTACCTACTTAAATTTCTCTATGAAATTAGCAAAATATTTATAGAATCAATTTAAGCTCAATATGTTTAGGCTAACAAACTAATTTCGCTACAATCATTGTTTTTTGGACGCAATTATTTATCAATTTATCATTGAATTAAAATTTAACAATAATACATTTTGGTGACTTACAAGTTACTCAATGACGAAGTACACTCGATAGTCGATATCAAGTGGTTATACTGAACAAGAGAGCGGTTACCTACTTTTTGCCTTTTAATTTTTTTTTACATATTAAATCATGTCCGGCATATTGTGTTATTCAACACATATTTAACTATTATATTTGTATTTCTTTTAATTTGTTATCGTTTCAGATAAGCTTCGGGTGTTATAACCTATGGGTTAATGTGTCTAGTTATAGGTGCACTTAAACATTTCACCCAAGCACTTATGTTGGATTACATAAAAAATTTATTAATATTTAATGTTTCTCTAAAATGTAATGGAACAATTATAATGGGCACTAAATCATGTTCTAAGGACCATTAGCCATTAGCATTGATTCATTTAGCATTTGTTTAGTCATTATTTGTAAAAACCGCCATTAAAATGTTAGGTATTGATTTAGATTTTAGGTACCTTGTATGCGTCGTAATTTTGACCTAAAAAGTTGTGTAAGTCAGAAGAACATTGAAATTTTAATTTTTTTGTCATATAGGTACATCATATAATTATTGCGACTATTCGCTATTATGTTATTTATTTTGATTTTCACATAGAATACCTAATAATACAATCAAATGGATAGGTAGATAATGACTTATCTCAAAATTAATTGGATTCACATTATTTCAATATCAAAACCTCATTAGTAGATTGTAGAGCTATAGGTAGGAATTAAGAATATAAAGTACCAAACATGAACCTACCTAGTGATACGATTTGACGTGACACGGAATTATTGATGTACCTACCTATTCCTTGGTAGGCGCATAAAGCTATAAACTATGAATTATCCAAAAATCGAAAGTATGGAGTGAATACATAAAATATTCACAATAAATGTATTCAAAGAGACATTTTTCCATACTATATCTATTTAATATTTATTTATTTTTAAATTTTCTTTCGCTGTTTTGCAGTGCGATGAGACTAAAGAAGGCATGGTGAACAGTATTGCCAAAATGGACGAATTTTGCAAAGAAAATATGTTCACCGCTTGGTACGAGACGTCAGCTAAAGAAAACGTTCACATCGACGATGCGGCAAAGACACTCGTAACTCAGGTAAGTTAACCTAAGTTAACCTGATGTATCCTATCAATATTAAACTGTTTTACAAATTTTAATATCTACTAATAAATTCTAAAAATCTATAATATTCATAGTGCATAAATCTATATTAATATATATTTTGTTACCTACACAAAAACATACAGGTTATTAATTGTAATTATTAATGCACTCCTAACAACTGTTTGTGTGTTTATAGTTTATTAATATTATAATATTACATCATCACTTTAAAGCCAACGAAATTCTAAAAAAAAAGTTTTTTTTTATGTTTGATCGTCTAACTAACAGCTATACCCTGCTTGGTTGGTTAGTTAATTATCCTAATGACATTTTTTTTTTTTTGAGACGTAGAATATTTATACAACCCCTGGGATAGTGGGATATGACACAAACTAGGTAAGGTACCTAACTCTAATATCTACCTATATAACAAAAATAATGCAATATAATATAAATTACTTATCTATGCATATGTTTACAACTTAACTAACAGTCCCGCGAATTATTAAAGTTATAAAATTTAATTTGTTGGTCGATGGACGATGTCCATTAATATTCAGAATCAAACAATTTACGTACAGTATAGGTACTATTTTTACTACTAGGTATCGTCTTTAACTATTTTTACTACCTACTCTTATTGTATTCTTATACAAGGATATAATATACCAATACAAGATTAAGATAATACACTTACACAGTTATACATGCAACATGTAGTCTATTTACAATTCATATAGAAATCTATTATTATAAATCTGAAATGTTAACAGTAAAGTAAATCTCATTTATAGGCAATTCAAACATTTAGGTGGATGTTATTTGAAAACATTTTTTAATACCTAGGTACAACCAAACAAAAACATATTAATCACGTCGTAAGATGATATTAAAAAAAATAATGATCTTTATTCTTTCATTCTTTCATTCTTTCTAACAAATTTACAATTAAAAATTATGATACTTATACTACTATACTAGGTACACTAAAATAATGAGTACCTACCTATATATACACTATACTATAGTATATTGTTGGTCGAGCTAATAATTGAGCCCACAGCCCAGTAGATTATTTTAATGTGCCCCAAAAATACATTAAAACTTTTAAAAAAATTGAACTGTCTTTACTCTTTAATACATTGCATTATAATAATTTAATTTTCAATTAAAAGATAATTCGTTACTTTAAATCATAGGTTCCCAACCTAGCTATGGTCCGCGAGACATTGTCAGGTGGTCCGCGGGCCATACTTACAAAATGTAAAAAATATTTTAATAATTTCATTTTCCTTTGAGGCATAACACTAATTACCTATTGACAATCGTGTATAATACGTCGTTTATTTATAAATTTATATTACATAGTGAAACCCATGTTATTAAAAGCCTCTTATCCATATAATAATAATCAAAATTCTAAAATATGTGAAAAAAAATTGATTCTTATTTGTAAGTAAAATAAGGTATACAATTGAGGTGGTCCATGACGTATCAAAAGTTCTCATAGTGGTCCGTAGTACCAAAAAGGTTGGAAACCACTGCTTTAAATTATTCAGGCTGCACAGACTCCATGCTAGTCACATTCATATAACTATACTCCGCGCCACGAGAAAAGGAACCCGTGTCCCGAAAAATTGCAACCGACTCCACGCATCCCCACTTATTTGACATATCGTCGTCTAGTTACCTAGCCTAGTAACGCTAGCTGCCGTCATTCTGCATGCGCGAAACGGGTTCCTTCTCTCGTGGCGCGGAGTATAGTATATTATACAAGATAAATTAAAATTTGTACATTTTTTATAATTTTTTTTATATGACATTCCTATAATAGTTATTATTTATTTTGAAAAGTATTAATACCTATTATCCATATTCTATCGATAATCAATAACCCAACAAAAACATAATATGTCAATGCTGGCATACCACAGAGTAGGTAGGCTCAACAGTCAACCCTGCCTGTCCTGTCAACTTGCTTATGTCTAAATTATTATGTAAATAAATTTACAATTAGATACCTACTAATGTTTTATATTTTAATTTGATAAAACATTTTTAAAACCATATTATATTTATTTCAGATTTTGAAGTACACTGCTCAATATAAACCAACATACTTAAAATCGAAGGGTCAAATAATATTAAACAACACCCCTAACGATACTCAAAAAGGTTGCTCCTGTTGATTAAAATTGGATGAAGTAATTTAATCATTGTTTATTCGCTTACCTATATTATTATATACCATAGTACAAATTGTTTTTTCTCAATATATTATGTCAATTATTATTAATGTTAGTGCCTCAATAATATTTTTAACTCTAGGCACCTATTTCAATATTATTTTGTAAGTAGTAAGCAAATGAAATGCTACTTATAGGAATTACACAATAGTTGGATAAAAATTTAATAATCATGAAGTCAATATATAGTTTCAAACTAAAAAACTCTACAGGTACTATAATACTTAAATGTTTGCATAGTATTTTGACCTAATAATTTTTGATGTGATATTAGGTGTGTACCTACATATAGTGTATATTTTTACCTACTACTTGTATTGTAAATACCTATGGTAAAATTAAAACAAATTTTTATTTCTTAGCTCTACTGTTTGTTTTTATTCAATATGTAATGTAAGTGCCTTAATTAACCAAATTTATCGTTTAAAATGTGTATTGGTATGTATATGTGTACGTTTTGAGTATATTTTATGTAAATTATTAAATAATTTTATAACCTAGGTACCTAGGTGTAAAAATATATAAATGAGCTATAAAATGTTGGATATCTAATTAAATGTTATTCTATATTGTTGACATGTGAAAATAAATTTAAATATAGTCTTTTGTCTTAAACAATACCGATGTTGCGTTTCTTAATATGGTTATAATAAATGTTTTCCTAATTTCCAAATCGAATAGAGATAAATAACTTACATGGACTCTGGGACATTGGGATATAAAATGAAACAAGGAGTCATAAGTGGAAGCAAAAAATGCAATAAACAACCCTAATAGTGAAATACATTCCTTTTCATCACTTGTAACTTGTAAGTTCTGGACAAACAAATAAATACTGAATGGGTATATGATACACAGAAAACAAAGTAAGAGAAAAAAACTTTCCATTGAACCCTGGCTCAAATAAATACATTTAAATAGAAAATAAGAAGTAGTTCTTAACAGACTAAGAATTGGTCCCACTAAATTCTCAAGCGGACACCTTATGAAACATTCAAACTGTCCTTTAGCCCAACATTCAACTCCACCAAGCACTTGATCCACTGTCCAAATTTCATCAAGTCTGAAATTAATTCAAAACCCAGGGCAAGTTACAAAGCAATTTGTCCAGTGTCAGATACAAAAACATAATTCCCTATCTTACAAAAATAAAAATGTATCACTCAATAAATGTTAATATAAATAGTTACGTTAAGATAACAATCTTTGTAGTCAATGCTCTAAACAATAAAAAATGGATAAATCATTATGAAAAAATTAAGTTTGTCTTATTTTATATTATATATTATTAATAGGCACTAGGTATCTAATAAGACATTTATCAGTACCCTACATAAAATATTTAATTATAATCATTAGATTTGTTTTTATATTTTTTGACAATATATGTATCATATGATAACTTATTTTACTAACAGAAGAAACAAATGAGAATATTACTTAACTATCAACTGATCACCAAAATTATGTCAATTACGTCTGAATCAAGCAAACATGTAAGATATCTTTTTAATTTACTTTACAATACTACTTATCACATTTATTATTTAAGGACATTAGAAGATATACTAATTGGCATTTAGAGCATCAAATGTTTGTGGAAAGTTATTGGCGAGAGTGCAGAAAAAAAATGTAAAATTAAATAAGTTAACAAGAATATTTACATTATATTTTATTGAAACTAAAGATAGTAGAAGATTACATAGAAATATAAAAACGGGAATATTACTAATCAGTCATTTATTACAAATTATTTTTTAGAAAAATAATATTATCATAGGATTAAAAAATACAAAACTAGTTACAAAAACTTCCTGATAAGCCAATTTAGTTTTTCAAGAGCCAGATTTATTGTTGATCTTAGATGTCCATGAAAACCCATTATTCCACAACAAGTATGTCAATACATAATTATTAACTATTTATATATTTTTGTTTTGATCAATTATTGAAATCATTCACTAAACAATTATCAACATACGAGAAACTATGAATCACCTGTGAAAAAAACCATATCAACACTATAAACATTATAATATATTGTACAAAATTCAAAAATAATACAAGTATTAATATTTTTCTGTTTCCTGCTGGATCATAGATTACATTTTAAATATATATATATTTCAAATAAGTGTTTATCTTTAAAATAATCACTAAGTATCAAAAGTCAGTTATTCTAAGTTAAAAAAATATGAGAAACTACCAACTTAAAATACTTTGCTAATTGTTATAAAAGTATCATATAATGTACTTATAATATCATAGAATTAGTATTTATAATCAATTATCAATTATATGTATGGACAATAAACTCTCAATATTAACATTATAATTGACTTTCTCAAATATTATACTTAGTTTTTAATTCAATCATCAAATAAAATACATTTTCAAAAATATAATGGAACAAATTAAGAATAACACCAGAGAGCTGAAAATTGAGTTGCGATTGTCATGATGCAATCGAAGGTTTTTAGACAGGACTACTCTAACTATTTTAACGCCTAAAATAAATTTAAGCCATGTACTCTATCGTATGTATGTATAAGTATAATTTATTTGCACGAGTTGTAAAAATATAACAATAATTAAAATGTGATATTTCTCCCAAAAGTAGAACACCTGAAAAAAGGAAAATTGGCTGAAAGAGTGCGAGACAATCAATGCTTACTTTGGCTCTCATACTATAATGTAATAATATATATTAATAAACCAGTACTTATGGGTTATCGAGACTATCATACGCCACATATGGATTATAGTGACTACTGCACGCCGTGTCCTACTCTTAACTTCTATTTTTTCCAGTGTCCAGTGTCATTACGATCGTGAAACAAATGAGACATTTTTAGTAGAAGTTCCTGATCGGTCTTCTGCTACTTTGATGTCCAAAATACATCAAAACATAGAAAAAGGGACGACAATTTATTCTGATTGCGGGCATAAAACTCAATACAAGATAATGGCTACCAGCATTTCACAGTGAATCATTCTTATCATTTTATGGATCCAAGTACACATACTCACACACAAAATATAGAGACTTTGGGCATTGGTGAAATGGAGAAACAAACATCATAGAGGTGCAGCAAGACACCATTAAAAATCCTACTTTGCAGAATATATGTGGAGGAATGCTCATAATGAAGACCAGTTCAACGTGTTACTAACCATACCTATTTTATACATTTTAATCTTATTTGTTTGTAATTATATTATTTGTATTATTATACTCTTACTTTTTTTGTAAACTATATATCACTATACTTATAAAGACATACATTGCAGCATGAGTTCAACATCAAGGTAGTCGCGATAACCCAAAAGTACCAAACCTATTATGGATAAGATGATGGGTCATAACAATATATGAATTTTACGTTTAAAGAACATCATACAATTAAAAGAAGTATATTAATATAACATTTTTATACTAAATGAAGTGATGTATAATTTATAATTTATGTTAAAGATTTATGCCAGATTGCAGAAGCAATACTAAATATAGGTAATATTAATAAATATTACTAAATCAATTAATTGTAAGCTAATGGTCCTTTAGACATGATTTAGTGGTCAGTGGTCATAATATTTTATTTCTAACATTGTTTAATAGCATATGAATAGTTACAAATCTAATATCTGTTGTTGTATTTATTTTTCAAACTTTTTTTCTATCGCATTGTATTGAAAAATCAACAAAAATATAAATTAAGGAATTGTAACTACTATAACTAGAAAATCTAAAAATCTATAATATTGTATAATTAATACATCATTTAAATTAATAGATAATAGAGGATATTTAGTGGAAAAGGAAGAAATTATTTGATAGACTTAAATTTATTTAGTTTGTAAATTAAGATTGATAATATGAGTTGTGGCTGCAGCATAAGATCGCTGATGCAATGTGCTTGGATTTCAAATGCCATTAATATATGAATGATATAAACTAATTGCATTAATCACTTGATACAGTACAAATAATTATAATATATACATTTTTCATACACAACAACTATATTATGTTAAACATTGATTTCATGACGTTACCTTTTTATATTGTAAATACAAGTTTGGATCACATTTAGCAGTACTATGTTGACCTTTGTCATGACATACAATATGTACGAGTTTAAGATTAACTGTTGTAAAGAGCAATTCATAGAAATAGTTCATATTTATTGAACGGTGAACTTCAGATGCCATTTTACTGGCTTCAAACAGTGCTGGTATTACAGTTCTAGATCTCTCCACCCTAATAATAAAAATAAAAATCAATCATTAACTATAAGTCTATAATTAAATATAAATTTAGTATTTTAAATTAGAAGTTAGTTTATATAACCGTTAAAGTATTATAAACTATACCAATGGTCTAAGTTCCAAGTAGAAAATATAATTCTACACTCTCTGTTTTGGTATGGATTGATCTTGTGACCAGTACCACGTTCATAAGAACAACTAGATTGATTCCATGCTCCCTCGCATTTAAACGTTCCAATCTCGTTGCACAAACCATTTGTATTTGATCTATCAAAATAATATCCATGATATTTGTTTTTTGTTAAAAGTTCACTGAATTGTTTAAATACTTCATCCAAGTACTTTCTGCACTTTGCATGTTTTATGTAAAATTCTGACTTAATCATATCAGATTTTGTTTTGTACATGTAACTTCGAATTCGTTCTTGGCATCGTTTGAACATGAATTCTTCTTTTGTTCTTGCCCTAGTTTCCAATCCTTAAAAATGTATACAGTTTTATAAATTATATACCCAATCTTATATTATATAGTTGATTATCAGTAACTTGAAGTAATGATTAACATTATTATAATTTAACGTAATAAATTCATAACATTTATTGACATAGAAAATTATTTTGTTGAGAGTTAACATTTTGAACAAAATTACGCCAGAGTTGAATGGTATGTAACAGTGTTAGGCGAGTACTGTTTTTAATTTTGGGTCAAGTTAAAAATATGAGTACCTACTAGATAAATGCTGAGTACTCGATCAACTATTTAAAATATTAAATTATTAAAGTAATAACATACCATTGTTATAAATTTAAACCACCAATCTCTCAGGAATTCTTATCAGAAATATTTGGGTTTTTTCAGTTACTTATAGTTTTAACATTTATTTCTCAATAAAATAGTGGAACAATACACGATTCTAGTTGAGTACTTGTACTTACGAGTACAACAATTTTTTTAGTCAAAATTAACTCAAATATTTTTCCAAAGTCGAGTACACGACCAAATTATAGTATATACCTAATATATAATATTATTTTTTATATGGCATAGATGATAGTTCTTATGCAGAAGTATTCCATTTGAATTTTTCTTCTCACAATACCAGTTGACTACTTTTAAGCTTATTGCAAAGAGACTGATGTTAGTTACTAGTTACTCTTTTTATACATTTATTTATAACAATAAATAATATAAGTATTTTTGTATGTATTAATTATAATGATAAACTTTATAATATTATATAAAATTTCATTATTTATTGTTAAATTTATAACTAAACATTTTTAGAATAATCATGACACTAATACTAGAGGGCTCTGTCTCTGTATGCTTCAATCACCATCTACCCTTGTGACATAGCACCTACGACCCAAGGGTCCCTTTGTATCTTGAAATATAATATATTATATCATTTAAAATATTGACATTACATGATTCATATAAAAAAAACATCAATTGTTTATAATATGTATGAGAAGTAAATATACAACATTTTTTTTATATAGGTAATAGAGGGGTAATCATTATAGTTACCTTGAAACCAATCAGGGTCTTTTAATCTTAGACTACTGATATTTTTTTTTTTATTACTTTCATCATCTACATCCAGAACTGAAGATAATATTCTTATTTTTTCTTTAATGTTTTCATCCATAAATGATTTTATTTTAATTGAAGTCTTTAATGTATTATTATTAACAGCTGCAAGCACATTATATATTAAATCAGCCCCTGAAAAAATAAAGATAATCAAATCAAATTTAAAAAATAGTTAAACTAATCAATACATATTCAATATTTGTCAATAACATTACAGAATAATAAAAACTTCTTTTTTGACATTTAAAAAATTTATTGTCTTAGGGAAATAGAGAAAACAGTTCTTTTTGGGAAAAATGGAATGGCCTAGTGAAAAAAAGTAAAAAATATATTTTTAAAGTTTATTAAAAAATATTTAAAGAACAATAGAATTCACAAAGAATAATATTAAATTTAGAATTTACATTTAATCTAAGAATAATTTGTACAAATAATATTATATTTTTGTAAGCTTTATGATAGTTAATTTATCCCTGAACTAAGAACTAAGAATACTGTTTATTAGTCAAAATTCAAATATTAACCACACTACAAAATATGATACTTAATCGCAAAAATGTTATAATGCTCACAATATTATTACAGTCAAATTTCGATAACTAAAATTGTTTCCTTATCCCTTTGTGTACTTATAAGTTATGTCTAAGGTATATAACTCGAAAAATACATAAATCAAATTTATTTTTATTTCCCTTGAGATTCGAATTATCAAATTATATTTATTATTTTAAATATATATATATTGCATCTAAAATAACAAGTACCTATTTTATGACATATAATATATTTATCAATGCAATTTTTATTTTAATATCTGTGAAAAGTAAGTAGATTATTTTCACAATTTTAGTGATCAGATGTATGTTTCAAAATGTATATACATAGATATATAATAGACATATATTCTAAACAGACATTATTATTAAATAAAATACAATAGTGTAGTACTGCTTTAATAAATTCATAATAAAAAATAATTAAAAATAAGCAGTCATCTGTTTGTTATGAAACACAATTACACTAAAGATTGTCACCTATTGTTTAGTGTTAAAAACATTACTATTCATTAGACATGCTTGGCCGGTTAATGTGATTAAAACTTTTGGTAATTAAATCTAGATATTTTATATTATTTGTTCTATAATAATACTACATTTAAAAGGAATGATTGTGCAAAAATAATAACTATATAAATTCATAAAAAATATTATAATATTAATATAACTTGATTTTGTAAGTTTCTAGTCATAATGCGTAGATTAATTTTAATATTATTTGCCATTTACTTGTCATCTGCATGGAGCTCCAGAATCAAAGAAGTATTTAGTTTAAAACAAATTTATTTTTCACACATCAATGAGACAACACTTAAAAATGAAACTAAACGTGAACCAGCTAACGTAATGCCACAAGCTTTGGAACGATGGCAGAATAAATTATTTTTGGTTACACCCAGATTCAAGCTTGATGTACCAGTAACGATATCATACATAAATATAACAAGTAAGATTATTAAATTAGCTAACAAAAGTATTATCATGTACATAAAAAAAAAATTATTTATCATTATTTAGATATGGAAAGTTATAAGAATAACACACCTATATTAATTCCATACCCTGATTGGAAAATGAATGAAATATCTGAACATAATTTTAAGTCAGTAGTCAAAGTAAGAGCTGATGTTTGCGACCGCTTATGGATATTAGATAATGGAAAGATAAACAACAAACAAGAAAGTATTCCTGTTATACATGTGTACGACTTAAAAAATGATATGCATTTGAGAACATTTGATCTCGGAAGTTTATCAACTATAAATTCAGATATCACCAACATGGAAGTAGATGTAACATCTTCAACTTGTGAAGATGCATACGCATATATACCAGATAGTGAAACTTATAGATTATTGGTTTATAGTTGGAGAACTAATGAGTCAAATTCAATATCACACAATTATTTTCATTTTGATCCTCTCTGTGGCGATATAGACTTGGGCGAAGTTCACTTTCAATCTCAAAAAGGTTTATATGGAATAGCTTTATCACCAACAGCAAGAGATGGTTTTAGAACTATTTACTTTCATAGTGTTGCCAGTACAATGGGTTTTGAAGTTAGTTCGAGAATAATACATAGTGGAAATTACGACAAGAATTTAAATGTATATGACTTTAAAGTGATGGGAAATAGAGGTACTAATAAACAAGCTACATCATCATCGTTTGACATGGAAACTGGTGTTTTATTTTATGGGCTTCTTTTAAAAAATGTTCTCGGTTGTTGGAATTCTTATAGGTAATTTAATGAATATATTAATTATTTACATAATGTATGATTCAATAATTATAAATAATTACAGTGGAGAAGAATATAATGAATTAACTCAAGGTGTAATAAGTTTGGACAATAGTATTGATATGTATCCAGCTGACGTCAGAGTTGATCGAACAGGAAATCTTTGGGTATTATCAAATTCATTTCAAATATACAATAAAAAGAATTACGATCAGAACCTAATCAATGTCAAAATATATATGACTCCAGTTCGACAAGTGATCAAAGGATCAATTTGTGATGAAATGTAATCAACTGTAAATACTAAATAGATACCTGTTTCAAATGTTTCTCCATTTAACCGAAATATAAATAACGTCTGTGCTGGTAGTTGTTGAAAATAGTCTTCATCATCTATTACTGTACCATCAAGAACCATCATAGTCACATTTAAATGGTCTAACTATAAAATTATAAAATAAAACAAAACATCAATATTTATGTAATTAGGTTAGTGGTTAATAACTTGGTTTTAAATTGGTATTATATATATTTATTTGATGATTCAACTTTATAACATTAAATAATATTTACATTTATAAATTGATACGTGCAAACATAAGCAAAGCATGTATCGACACAATGATCTTACATACAAATGTAAAATACACAGGTTTAATTGTTTACCTTTAATTTCTGACATCCTTTAGTAAAAACATCTTTTAATGAATTGCCGGCAATACCATATCTTATATCTTGTGCACAATTAGTGATCTTATAGCCTTTCATATTTATTAATACTCTGATAACTAATTAAGTTATTACCTATTTAAACATAAAAAAGGAACATAAATTATAAGTATTTAATATAACTAAATTGTACTTACTATACTGAACTCAATATTAATATTTGATAATATATTATTATGGATTCATAAGTATCACAGCATGATAAAATATATCTATTTTATCATGCAACAAAGTCCAAAAATACCAAATAAATATCAAACAATTTGAAATGTTCCGCTCAGTAACCTATGCAATTTAAATAAAAAAAATTAAATGTCATTAGTTCAAAATATCACCATATTATGTGAGGGAAGTATGTTCGTACTTTGTTTAGGCAAGAGGCAATTCACTATTTACCCATTGTTGTATCGTACACATTCTTATCAATGGCTAGGTCAATATTGCCATATTGTTAACTCACAGTAAAGGAATATACTGTATAGAATATATTGATTATTGACAGATCAATACATCCTGCTCTCTCATGGTTTTAAACTATCAACAAATAGCAATGACTACTTACATTGATGAATATTAACAAAGCTAAAATATCTTTCAGCTGAAATGCAGTTCTGACACAATATTTTTAATTTTTTATACGCTCCCATAATAACATTAGAGTGTCAACTAACACGATTTAAGACTTAATTCAATAGCACAGAATATAATAGAATGTAAATACTAAATACAGTAGGTACCTTTTTAGCTCAGTGCAGTAAGTTAAAAGTTGTATTCTGCAGTATGTTTAACTCATAGGTTCACAATATAATAAATATAAATAATACATGATGTAGATGTATACGAAAATAATATTCAATGTACATGTATATGATCACATATGAAAGAATACAGAACAATATTAAGATCTAAACCCTAAGGTTTATTCATTTTAAATTTATTAATTTACTATTAGACTATTAATTCTTAATTATTCTGAGGTACCATATCAATATATCAACAGTATATTCGTTATATTATCAGTGATAAGTGATAAGTGATAACTATAAACTGGTTAACTGATTAATTGAACTAACTATTCTATATTATATCTGTGCCGTGGACTGAACTGTCTAAACTACAAATTTACTAGGTAAAATATAACTACTACTGGAACATAATATTATAGTATTAAGTATAAAGTATGTACCAACAGATTTAAGATTTAGCCAATGTTTTTTGATCATAATAAATACTAATATAACTAATAATACCAATAGTGCCTACCTAAGATAATTATTCTGAATAGTGTAGAAATGTCGGAAACAGCAGATGTTTTTGATGATTGGTTTTTTAACTCTTTTAAAAGGTAAGAATATTTTTGATAAACTTAATTTATAAACAACTTTTTAAATATAATAAATACCTATTGTAATTTGACTGATTGATATAATTTTTTAAAACAAGGTATCATAAGCTGCAAATGTTTGGTGTGGATAAACCTGTATTTTCAATGGAATTGAGTTGTAATTCATCAGTGTGTTTAGCATGTGAAAAACCAGGAGAAAAAGGTTTTGAAGTATTAAATTTGGAACTTCCAAACAAGCTTTACCAAATTGAAAATGAACATGATTCAATAAGCACGAGTAGGGATTTGAAAATCAAATGTGGCACTTTAACTGATAATCGATTAATAGATGTAAACAAAATTTATAAGTATTTTGGTAACTATATTATTATCATTGAAGTTAAATATTTAAATAAGTATAATAATTTATCATTTATTATTTTAATAGATGAAAACTCTCTTTGGAAAATCTAAAGTAATTTTGTCTGAAGAAGGAGTTGGTAAAGTGTCGATATATGAAATGGATCCCCATAAATCAGGCAAGTATTCAAAATTTGAGTTATCTGTTATTAGATATGTCATAGAGTATACTCTATGAGGTATGTATCTTCTTAAAAATATCAAGTTGTTCAGTTGTCTTATAAATAACATCCATTACATATTTTTAGATCAAATGATTTCATTAGTGAATATTGATAGTAAAGTGGAGAATGCACATTTAGCTGTTGATTGTACAACTGATACCTTAATAATTTGGGGAAAAGAAAATGCAAGTCATACAGGTTGTGTATTTAACATTGAAAACAGTAAGAAAATGCTCATGATCAAAGATGTGACCAATGACCCAGCATGCATTTATACACCACAATTCATTTCTACAAATGAATTGGTTGTTCAAAATTCAGAAAACGGTTCATTTGATCTGTATGATTTAACTAGTGGTCAGCATTTGGAAAAAATTCATTTACCTGGTTAGTATTTGGATGTACAACACAATTGTTGGTAATTTAAATACATTTATCGTGAAACTTAATTTTTATTTATTTAATTTTTTTTTTATTGTAAGAAAAACCCTCTATTACATGGGCCATTGGGTTTATTGTTTTTACTTTTAGGTAGACAACTTATTCCTAGTACTGTTCTTGAAAATACAAAATACTTTTTCTGAAATTCGTATTATTAATCATTTGTTAAAGTTTATCATATAGAACCAAATTCCCTTTTTCATTTATTTTAAATCATTTTAATCTTATTTACTAGTATTTTGTTGGCAGGTAAATAACTTAAAGTTAGTTAATTATCTACGGTTTTTTTTTAAACAATTTTTCTTTACAAAAATAAGAATGTATAAATTATTGTAAAAAAAAAATCTAGTGTGCACATCTATTGAAGCATATTTCTCATATAAAAATAAATAAAATATTGATATACATTTTTTAACTATGCGTTTTATGTATCAAATTCTAAATTGTATTTTTTAACATAGGTGGTCTAATTTATGAATAATTAAACATTACAATTACATAACAGAATTAGGATTTTAAAGTTTAGTAAATTTTATTTTATTTTTAGTTGTATCTTTCTATATTTTTCCAATGTTCAGAGTATGAAAATATATTATAATATTATGTTATGATTGATATCGGTGAGATTAATTAAATAATAATAAAAAGGAAAGATCCTACTCAAAATATATAAAATATAAATAAAAGTACATAACCCAACTGCAGTCTTGTCCCTACTACTGTATATAATTCATTATACCTAATTAAACATATTTTTATCTTTCAGAGTCTGATAGTTATGCAAAATGGTTTTTAAACACTGCATACACAAGTTCTAAAGAAACAACAACATTCAATTTAACATTAATTTCTAATTCTGGAACCTTACTTACATATGATTTGAGAAATTGTAAGACTCCGACAATCTATCAAAGAGAATTGTTTACAAAGTGTAATAACAATATAAACATAAATCTTGACCCTACTAATTCAAAAAATTATGCTGTTAGCGGATTTGATGGTAATGTGTATATAATAAAAGAATCTAATTGTCATACAAACATGATACACAAGTTTAAACATGAGGGACATATGTTCACTGAAGATGAAGATTTGTGTCAAAATACAATTACAAGCAGTACATTGTGGTTACCGATGTGTGGACGTAACACACTGTTATCGGCTGCAATTGATGGATCAATTCAAGGATGGCAATATATTTCATAAAATACATATACAATAATAATTATATTTTAATTTTGTACAAAAGTCTGATATATTTAAGTATTCTATTAACAATTGGTAAATTTAAAATAGAATTAAATTATATTAAACGTCTAAATTATTTTTTGAATTTAATTGTTGCCAAACACAACATGTATTATCTTTAGAAGCCGTCAAAATTGTATCACCTAGGTAGTTCATTAAAACTGAGAATACGTGATCACTATGCCCTTTTAATTCTTGTAAACATTCTCCAGTTTCTGTATCCCAAAACTTAGAACTATGGTCTTGTGATGCGGTGAGCAGATGATGTCCAGCAGGTTCCCAAAAAACCTGAAATCAAAATAGGATAATTATTGTATTTTATTGAATTTAGGTTTTTCAGATAAATTTAATAGGTGTACTTTTGTGACTTCTCCTGTGTGTTCAATCATTGCGGATATCAAGTCGCCACTGCTTACATCCCAGATGCAAGCACTACAGTCGCTGCTCGCCGTAGCCACTCGACGACCAACTGAATCAAAACAAATGTCTAGCACCTATACAACAATTGCACTTTACAATATTGTTGGTTATCTGAAACTAATAGATACAATGTTGAATATCTCACTACCTCATCTGTATGGCCGGCAATAGTGTGACGACAGCTGTCAGTCCTTCTCACATCCCACAACTTGGCCGTGCCGTCCAATGAACTGCTGGCGATTGCTCTGCAACTGAAGTCGTAGTGACAGGAAGTCAATTCAGCAGTGTGGCCGTATAATGTTGATGTACATCTATGGATAGTTATATAAAATGGTCTACATCACAAAGCTTTAAATCCAAATGAACACAAGCTAATCATTATTACTCAATTACAATTTTTAGTATTAAATTAATACAAACTCATATAAATTTATGAATAAATGAATTAAATAAAAATCCACTTTAAGGGATCAAGTCTTAATGCTGTTTATTTGGTTTATTGTGTGCACGGCTACAATAATAATAATATGTTTTAATATTTTGTATAGCTTGTGATGCCTGCTGGTTAGGTGCTAGTAAAAAGCAATAATATTTTTTCAAAATAATTTAAACTACAGAATATGTATTAAGTATTATATATTATCTTAGATTCTGAAAAGAATAATAAATGTATTGATTCTACAATTATATCAGCTACTATCTGCTTTTATTTTAATCTTAGTCGGTTTGTGGAACTTGTGTCTTGTGTTGTAGGCGTGTAGGTAGCGTGCTTACTGGTGTTGACTTAACTATTTGTATTCAATTTATTTAAAAATAACAATAGATATAAATATTGATGAACTTTCCACCAAAGAAATGAAACTTGATTTTTTATAATACCTAAATTTAAAGTTTTTTCTATTTTTGGCCGAACAAAAATAATCAATGCGATGTAGAATGTACCAGGTACATTGTAGGTACATACTAAAAATAATGATTTATTGTGTCAGTTCGTATTCAATGTAGAATGTCATGTACCTACAATATAAAGGTGAGGTTTTCAAAATATGCTCTGCAGTCCGTGGATTCGCAATACTGCCATGGTAGGTACCTATCACGAATTAAGATAATTAAGTATATCTTAATTCGTGGTACCTATTGACCTAATCTATAGCGGCAAAGTGCTCTCTAGACATATCCAAGTTAAATTACCATAAAATAAGATTTGGTTTATCATGTTTATTTTATTACTAATAAATCGCAAATTTTGTTTTATACCTATAGTCGAATGTTCAAACGATGTAAGATGCCGATTGGATGAAAGGATAATATATTGATTTTATCGTAATTATGTCGTTTATGATTATTATATAGGTAATAAAGAAACAAATTAATGAGCAATCTTTTTCTGTATCATTATTCATGAATTAAGTGTGTATATTTTATGAGCATTCAAAATATTTAAAGCTTCATAGAATATTTTTAGCAACATAAAGGCTGTATGAGCAAAATAGTTGAGGACCACTGCTATCAGCATATATCTAGTAAGAAAGTATTAGAAACCTAAAAGGGTTGTAAGTGATTCAATACCAAATTCCTTCGCTTAAACAATTTCTCAATAGGTACGCCGTCTAATTGTAATACCTATGTCCTATATGATGTGGGTAGGTACTAGGTAGCATGGGCGCCCATAGGTAACATTTTAGGGGGGGGGGGTCAAAATAAAAAATGTCGGTAATAAGGTTAGGTTAGTGGTGATATTTATTGAGCTACGAGTTCATAATATTTTTTTCCGGGGGGGGGCAAGTGCCCTGTCTTGCCCCCCCCCCAAATGGGCGATCATGCTAGGTAGGTATACCCAGATTTTTGGCAAAAATTAGTTGAGCCACTTAAAACTACGGTCTTGGTGCCTTACTTCGAGGTCTGATAAGTCACCTATACCCAATGACGTGATGAGTGACTCATCCCAGAGTAGATGGTATAGCCGGGTATATATCTTTATAATATAGTATATTATTCTATTGTACGTGTGTATGTCACTGAACTCCTAAACGGCTGGACCGATTTGAATGAATTGTTTTGTATGCGTTTGGGTGACGCCCCGGATGGTTTAAATTCACAATATTGGACCCGGGCCCCGGGGAGTTGCTCAAACAGGAATCTTAAGATTTACGAAAGAAATATTTTGATTGTATACGGTTGCTATTGGTTATAGGAGAAATATAAATGTATTTAGTAAAGATTGGTTGCCTGCAATGGTTCATCGGGCAGATCAGATATAAGCATGCATACAAATATACAGTTGAATTTTCGCACATTGCCTACCAAGGTGAGTGAGTTGCACTTATAGCCGCTCATCGGCGGGTCCGCAATAAAAATAAAAATAAAACATATTATTTATGTAAAGTACTCATCAAGTGGGGTCTGCAATCCGCAGCAGGTAGGCATAATATTATAGGTACCTACTCTGCTGCTCGCATTATCACCATCGAGTCTCATATAAATAGTTGGCATTTTTAACGGGCAACAAAGTGCAGATCAATAGCTGATCCCGTACCTAGACTGCTACACTGCTACAGTGCTACTAGCTGGTATAGCCAGGTATATATATGTGTATACCTATGTGGCTATGTAATATATAGGTACACTTGAAATCTATGCTATAAGTACAGTGATTTTATTAGACTTTAGAGTTAAGTTAGGCATTGTAATATATAGTATAGATTTACAATCCACCGGATAGTATGCATGTGCGATGACATTATGACAATACCTATGACATAATATACCTATTAACTATTGAGTAATATCTTTAGAAATGTTGTCACAGTCGTCCATCATTGAGACTCTCACAGTCTACCTTAGGTACCTAACCAGATCATAAGTTTATAACCGGATATAGGTATTATATGTATATCAATTATTATTCCGGTATTCAGGTTATACAAAATCGAAATTCCATAAGAAGATAACCTTCACCAAAACTAGTAAGTAAATATAATATAGGTAATAAAAAAACTAATCCTAATGGCTAATACTGCTAATAGGTACTGACAAAAACTTACTGCATAGGGCATTAACTACTAGCTAGTGGCTAAGTACTCCTACTTTATTCTAGCTGAGGCACCAAATATGTATAGGTAATAACTAATAGCCAATATAGAAACGGAAATAAATCAATTATTGATAGTTACCTACTAAATCTACGTATTATTATTTTTATGTTATAAACTTATAAACCATAAACCTATTGCTTTGTGAAAATATGGTAGGTATCGCCGTATCGGTATCAACACAACTACATATATTTTTTTCTTTTTAAAAAATTGAGGAGTTTTTGATATTAAATAGTTACCTATATCAAAAACTTTAGCCATTATAGTTAATTTGTTTGTGGAGTTTAGATACTAAAACCTTTCGAGGGGCTTGATTACGTTCTAGGTAGGGCTTAAGCCCGCCCAAGTCCCCCCCCCCATATCTACCTACGAACTAGGTACTGTAATAGCAGCTCAAACAAACTTAACATCTATTATATAAGCTTGAATAATTGTCATTCTATTTTCTATATTTAGTATGTATCATACTATAATATGCTTATGATGTACTATATTATTTGGTCAAATTATTAGTTATCAACTTATCAACGATTACTGCGTATATCGGACAGGGGTACCAGGTATACAGTCGATTGGTTGTATGCAATTGATCGCGGTAAAAAAACGAAAGTCTGAAATTGGTCATTTGGTAAATTTGTTGTAAAATAAAAAAGTAATAAATTGTACCTATTGGCTATTTATATTAATATTTTAAAATTAGAAACTAAATAGGTACCTAAATAAAAAAATAAAACTTAAATTAAAATTATTGAGGTGTAATACAATAATAATATAGTAAATTAATATAGAAAAAATATGAGAGAAGTAATTTGTGGTAATTTTTTTCAAAAAATGTTACCTATATTTTATGTAAAAAAAATGGGTAAGTACAATGTACCTATATATATAATGTGTAATATGAAAATATAAATTTATATTTATAAGTTATGACTTATGAGCAATGAGCATGAAATGTTTTTCTATATTAAATATAATTTCTTTCTTTCTTTTTTGGGGGGATTTCTACTCCAATATTGTATTGGACCTTTTTAAGGCAATGTAGCTTTTTTTCTTTTTTTACATACAGGTAAGTATAGAGCTATACATTTTCAAAGAATTGGGTGAAAAGAGTTAAAAGTAGATGAAAATCTGTTCAAAATAATGCGTTTCCTGAATTATTGGTCTTTGATAGACACAGATATCAGATACGTCATACGTGTGTGGCCTTGTTCGTCGATTTTATGCATTCATCTTGCAAATTATAGCAATCTCCCAAATTTCAATTGAAAGTTTAGAATTGTTGTTCATTTCATCAATCTGTATATTTCTTCAAAATATATGAGTAATCGCGATAAATCAGATTCAAGGTCTAGGTATAAAACGGTGTGTAAACGAATGTTTAAAATATCTAACAACAGATTCAACAGGGACATAATATTATAACAATATGCTAAAGTGTTTTTTTTATTTCAAAAGTGATAATGACTACCGCGTGAATTTATTTTGATTTTCATACCACTAAATTATATTTTGAAGCATTCATCGCCGTAATTTTAAAATTTAACAGAGTATACTTTTTAGTTAAGTTGTATTTTTTTATAATTATCTTAGCCTACTCCTTTAAATTTTGCTGTTGCTTTTCTTGTTTCAATGTTGGCCATATCGTACATGTAATCATGGGAAATCTGGGCTGAATGCTTACTTAAAATGGAAAATTTATTTGAATGTAGGTATTCAAGCTTCACATTTATTTTAAAAGTTGACGACACATTTCCATACAATTTTTTTGTTATCTCTTTTTACATTCAAAATTATATAAATATCAATCATGCACGAGCATGTCTTTGTCTCTTTTACTTTTTATAAAATTAAGAGGCATATTATTTTTGAATTGACCATTGCATACAAATACAAATATAAAATACGGTAAGTACCTATACTGCATTCAACACTAGTCTAATGTTTGGATATACAAATACAGTATACCTATTATAGTCTTATAGACACCTATAAGTAATATATACAGTAAAGAACATTGTTTGAATTTCAGATTAACGACATGCTGATGTAATTGAAATCTCAATATAATCTTCTATAGCAATGATTGTTGACTGTTGTACATTCATAAAACCTACATAGTACATGCCTTTTTTAACTAAAAGGCTTGGAAATTATCAACCTAGATTAACACTCAACAAATTTATATCACGACCAACTAACTATGGATACGACTAATTATTAACGTCAACTCACTCGGCAGTGCGGACATCCCAAATCTTGATTGTATTGTCGAATGAACCAGTAATCACCGTCGACCCATCGCCGTCAAACTGATTGACCACCACTTCGCCAGTATGTCCCCTCAAGGTGGCAACGTTTTGACCTATGAATAGTGGAAACGTGCATATTGTAGGTATACGCAAGTAAACTAATAGTTATTTTATATTTATCTATAATTCTATATGTAATATTTAATTACTAATATTATGTACCAAAAAAATAAATAATATAGATACCTACGATGACATCTAGCCACTTAGGGACGGATTTTGGATTAGACTTTATAGTTTATATATAGGTTTAGGTACTACTAGTACCACACTAACTATTAATAAGTAATAACAGCTAGATTTCAACAGATTCTTTGATACTCTCGCTGTGTAAATATACACTCTTTTGGATATTAGTCCGTATAGACTGCATCCCTAATCCCTTAATCATAATTTGGGTCACGACGAGGCTTCTTCTCTATAGCTATATATGGGTAGTTCCTTAGTCTAAATTACAGGAAACAGTGCAACACTGACCTGTAACGGCGCTGAATAGCTTGGTCGTTTGGTCCATTGACGAAGTGGCCACTGTCTGCGTGGGCTGGCAAGCGGCCACCGCGACTACCTCTGCCGAATGTCCACGCATGGTACATAAACATTCATCTCCGTTGTCCAGCGACCATATCCGCGCCGTTTTGTCAAACGATCCGGTCAGCACCCTAGACAAATTGAGTTTGGTTCAAATGTTCACTCACACACATCTTCGCAGCTTTGTTCGGTGGGAGTGCCAATGCTTGACCCTAAGGCGTGTGTGTATGTCTAGGAGACGTTTGCGCCTGCATAGATGATTTTAAGAGCAGGTGCCTATATTATAGCGTCCAGGGTGTCTTTGTACAGAGTGATTCATGAAATTTATCACATACCGCTCAGACCCTAGCTGTAGTTATAGTGCAAGAGCTATTATATTATGTATCGAGTATACTGCCATAAAATAATGACCCTGCATATGGAGTCATAGAGATATAATAGTTATGATGTTATGGATTGTAATGGATGTATATTCAGCAGGTCTTGTACCACCCCTCTTCACTGGTTACAAGTCACTTAAGCACATGGCTCCATGGGAGTATCGATGCTTGCTATAATCACTTCCATGTGGTACCATCGGAAAATGGTGGTACTAACCTTTCCGCGATGGCCAATGACACAACGTACACCGCGTTCTCGTGACCGACGAGTGTAGACGTCTCCTCGCCCGTCCGGGTGTTCCAAATCTTGCACGTCCGGTCGTAGCTTCCGGTTGCGCAACTGCAGTACACGCGCAAATTCAGTTATTCATGTTTCTATTCTATGTATTTTGGCTAAAGACCGAAATATGCCAATGCGCAAGTAAGTATTACGGAGTACGGAGTAAGATTAATTTAGCATGTGGTTTGTAGGTACATAATATTATTATGATTTATTGCTATACAAGCCCAGGCGGCGTTGAATATAGGCAATATTATGTGCTTCAAAATAGAACATTTTCTAGTTTGTGTAAATTTTATAATTCAAGAGTGAGGAAAATGTCGGAATGTTGGGCAGTGGACAATACAAATGAACAGACTAACAGAGAGTGAGTGTATATCACAGATATATTATAAACATGAAATTTCGATTAATACATTTTTTTTCTTTTCATTTTCTATTTATTTATTTATTTTTTTTATTTTCTACAATACACCTGTTTCGATGAACTTTTGTTTCATAAAACATTTGTACCAATAGACTTTGTTCCATGAATATTTGTTCCTAACTATAAACCTTATATCGTATAGTACTGAGGCAAGTATTCATGAGTTGAGATAACGAGGTTAGAATGCCAACCTTTAGAAGAGCTATATGTTTTAGAATTAAAACATTTAGAATACAGACATTTAGAAATATTTATTTTATTAATTTACAAATAAAAATATGTAAAATATGAAAATTCCTAATTACATTTAACTCTGAGGTTCATCATGTACCTAGATAAAACCTATTTAAAAAATAAAATTGTATGTTTAGTTTATTGATTTAAATCATGAACGAAGTCATATATATATAGTAGGTATATCTAAAGATTTAATGATGGCTACTTAGGTGGGTACCTATTACTTACTGCTTACTAGGTTTGCGATTGCAATCAAATATCATACATTTAATATTTGAATCTATTTATTTATATTTATATTATAAAATGAATTCAATTACCTACATACCTAAGTGGCACAAATTATAATTGCAATACTAAAATATGCATCATTTTACTGTTTTAGTAAACTAATGGTTTCCTATTTTTTGCTTTAAAGTATTACACAGGCAATGGTAAGTTTTAACGCGCTATAGAAATAATACAATATAAAAAAAAAGTATAAAATATATCAGAATAAACTAATATAAAAATATTGTTCGGAATAGAAGATACGTTATGAAATAAAATAAGACAAGTACCAACATACGCTGTAAGATTTTAAGGAAATAACGTTTTGAAAAAAAAATGATAATATAACCACAGAACAATACCTAAATAAATAAATATATTAAGTTTTCTATAGAAGGAACACTGAACTAGGCTGAATTAAATTGTTTATTTTCTTTATTATTTATTAATGACAACTTGCATTTATAACCATTTTATATTATAAATTACTAATAATACATACACATAGATTTATTTTGATGATCATTATTTTTTGATTTTAGTAATATATAAAACTACTGTCTTCAGTTTTTTGTTTTAACTTGTTTTAAACATTATACTTATGATTTTTTTATTATTCTAATAGTAGGTACTTTTTAGTATTTTAAATAGATAATTACCAAAAACAAACATCAAATATCTATGATAATATGATGAAATTTATTCCGATTTTGGACAAAACAAAAAAAAAAACTACCTATTCAAATACATTTTTTTAAATATGTTGGAATTATATCGTACCTATTTGTTTACTCTCTCTGGTCCAAGCGCAAAATAGACAAAACGCATTTACGCAGAATTGTTTTTTCTGTTTTTTAAGTAATCTTAGAGTAAAATCACCCATTACAAAAAATATAGAGAATAATATTTTTGAGGGAATGACACATCAATTTGTCTAAATATTGTCTTAAAACAATTTAAACGTAATTTAAATGTAGGTACAACATTTTTTTTTTGTTTATATTGAAAGTTGAATACAAAGTAAAATAACAATAAAATATAAAATCGATATCAAAAATATTATTCTATATCTTTTTTGGATTGGATGATTTTAGTCTAGTCTCTAAGATTACTTAAAAAACATAGAAAAATGTTTCTGCGTAAATGCGTTTTGTCTATGTTCGTCTACTGTTAACAACAATAATAAACGGCATAATAACGTCATGGACAGTGAGACATTTTTCCTGCTATGATCCATTTGTAAGTCGTAACGTACCTACTGGAAAAAAATTAAGTTGGAAATGATACGCTTTGAAAAACAATAGCAGTGTTGATCGATTTCTCTCTATTTTTTCAATATCTACCTTCAAATGTCTAACTCGATTTTACCAAAACAAGCGATGTAACACAATTTGGAATTTGTGTATAATCACCTCAGTTCATCTTGATTGGATATGGTTTGCTTCTACAATCTTTTTAAATGAGCATTTTAATTAAAAATAATATTTAAATTATCAAAAATTTATTTTTTAATTCATTTTTTCAAAAACGTATTTTTTAACAAATTTACTTTTTAGTATTAAATTTTTTATACAACCAAAATCATTACTGATTTTTGTCCAATCAATATTTTAATTTTTTTTTAAACTTAACATAATTTGCAGGTACCTATAGGTACCTTATATAGTAAATATTTAATAAAAGCTGCTTTCTTAAAATTGAGGACAATTTACAGTTTCTCCTTCAAGCACTAGCTATTAGGTAGACCGTATTTATATCTTATATAAGAGGATTATGCATTCATTTTTTTAGATAGGTACCTCATACCTAATTTTAAATTATATTTACTCACATATCTCCGACTTTGTCAATGGATACATTTGTTATTGGTAACAAATGGCCACTGCTCAGAGTCTTGTCAACATTGAAAGATGGAACACGGACATTGTCCCAGTTGTTGAACGATGTTTTATCTTTAAGTTTTTGCAAGATTGTTTCCAGTTGAGGCAGTATTTTTGGAGTGATCAATGGTTCATCGCTCGCAATTCGAGCGGCTAGTTTTTCTACATTTGTCCTATTTTCAAAATGTAATACTTAATAAATTTAAATGTCAATAAGTGTTGTAACTGTCCATGTTAACATTTTTATTTCTGGTACCGTATTAATTTTAAACTTACTCTTGTTCAATATCAAACAAATTCAAAATCTTTTGCTTTGTTTTGTTTTGTTTTTGATATTCAAAAACAATACCTATAAAAAAAATTTACATAAATATTGAAAAATATACAATTATTACATAGGTAAAAAATATTACCTGGTGGATAATATCTTATGTAAAATTTATTTAATTTCATATAAATCTTATTATTAAAAGTAAGTACATTGCTTAAATTGTTCAATTGAACATAACATTTGCCGCATAAGGCTTTTTTGATGTTGCCATAGTTACATACAATGTTGGATCTAAATGTTATTGATTTTGAGCATTTCGTCAAAAACATACCTTTATAATCAATAATGATAGTTTTAGTTTTATACTTGGTACTTGTTACTATAGTTTTTATCAGTATTTTTGAATAGCGACTAATTAATAACACTCAACTTTGACACTATATAGTAGGTATATAATTTTTAAAAACAATGATTACAAGATGTATTATGCTAACAATGTATTATAATATATATATTTTTAAATTAAAACAAAAATAAAATTTCATAATAATTATATATGAATAATCATAATGACAAAATATATATACATTTAATTAACTAGATGAATTTACACACTTAAAATGTTTAAAAAGAATTTTTCATGGAGGGGAAGATTAGATTTTTAATTAATTTCAATATTATTTAATTAGTCAATGTCACTTAATTATAAAATATATACAGTTTTGTTAATACAAAAAAATGTACTACATTTTCATTAAAAATAAAATAATGTTCAATCAAAGAATTAACAGCATTCAACCGGTTTGTAAGGTTGAACAAAAATAACAATTACAGCATTAAACATAGACTATAAGTATAGAACAAAATATAATAATTCACAAGTTTTAAGATTAAAAAACTTAGAATAAATCATACATAACATAGAAATAGACATTAATGACCATAATAATTTGCAATACAATTTTAAATAAAAATAAATTTTACTTAACGTATATAGCATGTATAGGAAGAAAATATTATATAATATAATTATTATTAATTGTATGTAAATGTTTCATACATTTTTCGAACATAGTGCAATGTATGATGAACAAAATATTGCACCTGAGTTAACAATCAACATGTTGATCCAAAACTATTTTACACTCTTTGCGATCTTTGCTGCTTTTTTGGCTTCATGTTTTAATGTTTTTTTAGTGTTCTGATCAGCTTCTGTCAATTCATTAAACTTTCGGGAAGCTAAAAAATGTATTAAATATCATTATTATTTTACTAGTTATATTTTTCTGTTTACATACCTGCATTCTTGCGTTTTTTGTTAGAAGTATCAGTACTTGTTGTTTTTGATTTGGATTTGATTAATCCAAATGAGGCAGATAAATTGAGACCATTAGAATTTTGGTTGCTTAAGAATTCATTTACAATCCAAGCTTGAGTAGCCAATGAGCCGATCGAACATATTAATTTAAACATGGGAGTGTTGAAGTCACGCAATTCTCCAGTGTAGGGCACACTTTTAAGACCGAACCATAGCATTGTCTGAGATAGGATTAATGTCAGTGTTTGAACAACATAGAACAACCAGTTGTACACATTTTGGGCCACTAAAAAAACATACATTCATTATTATATCAATTTCTCAATACTCAGAAGTCCCTAAAATAACTCACGTTGGACTTTTTTACTATCTTCTTCTTTCTCAGTGATATCAATCAATTTAACAGCATGTTTAGTAAATCCACAAACATAATTCAACAATAGTATTACAACGCCAATACGGTGGAAACTGAAAAGTAAACCCAACATTTAATTCATCAAATATTAATTTTGTTGTTTTCATAAGAAAGTTCTTCAAAATTACTTAGTTATGTATATGGCCGAGACAAATGCCAAGTATAATACAGAATATTTAACTCTGCTAAACATGTCCTCTTTTTTAATTTTTTGGAAATACAGTTCTGGCATAATATGTGCCCAGTAAGCAAATTGGATTATGTAAAAGAATTTTGTTGAGAACGAAAGAGCGCTGTATGGATATCCAATCCATAATGATGAAAGATCAGCCAACCAATTTCCTCTGGAAAATATATAGAACACCATTAAAAATATCTTGATAATTCTTTATACTAAATATTTTAAATAGTTTGGAAAACAATATTAATGAATAATCCATTTTAATTTAAGCAATGATTTTTACAAAATGCTTACTTTACAACAATGTCTAGTGCCCAAATCATTGAAACTGCATTGAATACAATCAGTTGTCCAGATTCATTGAATTTTGAGTTTTTTGATTTAGACAAATGCAATTTACGGCAAATTTTCTGCAAGTAAAAAAATTGATTAAATGATTAACTAATAACTACTATTTAATAATTGCAGAATTAATGTTGATTGTAGACATTAGTGGATGTGTAGGAAATAGCCTCCCCTCGGATTTTTTTTGTTAATTGGAATAAGGAATATTATTAAACTATTAAATATATAAATGCTGTATTTTGATATCTTCTGATTATTTTGTCAATACAAATTATTTAATTTAAACAATATTATGTTGAATATAAAACTGTTAAATATTATGGAAATATATCTCTAAACTATTTTTTTGTCAAACAAAATTACCGATGTTTAAGGATTATAGATTAAGGCTGGTAATATGGTAATTTTTTTTAAAGTAATGTTTTAAAGGCAATACATACAAATTGCAAACAAACACCATAAAAAAAACTATAATTTGGTCTCCCAAATAGTATTTTCAGTTACGGTATTGTAAGTACTTGTGATACCCACCCCCTTAAATGAGCTATAGATTTGCCATTTTCTGTAGTTAATATCTATTTCATAGTTTCATAAGTCACATTAAAAAAAGACTAGTGTCTTAGTTCAAAGCAAATGTTTTATTGAGATCAAACCATAAGGACTTGTTATTTTGTCTAGAGAATGATGAGCCAACTGCTTATGAGAACATGTACATTTCATAAAAGCAATATTATAACTTGGAAATTATTTGAAACTTTTAGTATCGTAAACAAACAATAAATATTGATTTTAATACCTCAGAAGTCTACACAGGTAGATAACTAAGATATACTTACATCCAAAACATATTCTTGAATGATGGCATGGAATATGATACAAATGAGGAAATAGAAGAATACAGCAAACAAATCCTTTAAACCGGTACCATATGTTTGCAAGGCGTTAGGTCCAGGAGCCTGGACATATTGCAGAGCCACAAACAATGAAGACACTGGTGAAGTCAACTGCAATGCAAATAAAAACACAATATGATATAGTAATAATAACAAAAGGGCAAAGCTCGAAGTGAGAAACTAGCGGCGGCGCCTTTCGCTCACCTGGACCATGAGACCAATGACGATGACCATGGCCACGCAGGACATGATGTCTGCATGGTTTTGAATGACGAACTCATGGCTGAGTATGGGCAAATTCTTGTTGGCGGCAGCCTTTCTGCCTTTGATTGGAGCCATTTTCGAAACGGCACTCAGCAGCTAGACAATTATCTGGGTTTGGCCACGTACGGAGACGAGACGAGACAGTTGATGAAAACGCGTCGGCAGACGAGGCTGTAAGTACGATGGTCGGCGGTCGAGTGTAACTGGTGGACTACATTGAAGATCAGAAAGCGGTCGTAGTTGTTGGCACCCGGACCTGAGTGTGTGGCAGTTGCGTTGGCTGCTTACAGGTTGCTGATGTGTCAATATAATACACCTGTCGGCGTGTGTTTACATTTTCCGTTTATTTTTTTTATTGATAACGTTGGTGGTAACTATGTGATAACCACGTATCGGTCACGGTCGTAGTGCGTTATGCGGCCACTAGATGTCATGCGCGTCATCAACTACATAATAATTTGTGGGTAATAATTAATCAATGTTAATACCTAATATGTTAATTTTGTTATTAGATATTACTACGGTCTACGGGATAATGGCACTAAGATAATCAGTAGGCGATTACTAATTAATCAATTGTTAATATGTTACCTATCACTTTTTACCATGAACTAGGATATTAGCTACCTATACTCGCGTATGCTGTATACATGACAACATATTTTTGTCATGTAGGGATAGATACGTTTGAAGGCGGGTTCCCAAGGCGCGTGGTTCGGTGAACTTGGGGCGGCGTGCTTGTTGTACCGAGTATAACACGAACTTCAATCATTCTCACGGCTCGTCACGTATTGGCGAGCCACGAGCTTAGCCGAGGCCAGAGCCAATCGGAGCTTCCTAAAAGTATTAATAATTTGCCGCCAAATTTCTCAGTTCAAAATTACTATTGCGATAGATCAGACTCAATTTTATAATCGTGCAACTGCTTATAACTTTGTATAGACATATAAATAGTAAATACATATATAAATCTACGGTATTTTGTCATGCTAAGCTGCTAGCATAGCAACAAATAGCGTTTTTATCACGCCCGTAACGAAAGTTTAGTTTTCGATGATGATTGAAGCGTTGGAAAGTGACCTTATTCCGACCAGCTTGCGGTCAAGTGGGAAGCCCCATAGTGCCGGGAGGTGAAATGGAAATCCCAAAATGTACCGAGCGTGAACTGGAAATTCCCAAAAGTGCTGTGCGTATCCCATGTACAACCAAACACTGAAATCTATACCAAGGTCCTTACCAAACATAAACATTTGGTCACATTTTATATTCATATTATAACCTCCTTCCATGACGCCTAAACATTTTTCTTTCATGAAATTTTTCTCTTTAAATAGTCTGGTTGTTGCATAGATCAATAAATCCCTGAATTACGTCTTTGCCGTAATCGATGAACTCAGATGCTTGACAAAAAATAACACGTATGGCTCTTGCGGGAAGTCAATTTCAGCGCACACGTCGCCCTCGACAGGAGTACTTAACTGAAATAGCTCAGTTTTTGCCACAGTCATTGCCACACAATGTACTATAATAAATTTATAAATATAGGTACCAACTAAGTACCTACATATTAATTAATTTATATCAGAGTTAAATTTAACTTCCAAGCATAGCGATAAATGTGTCGATTTTACAATCATGTCTATTTTGTTTTATATTATTTTTTGTGTAAATATACTTACACTATAAATACTCGAAATAGTGCTTCGTTTCTCAATTTTGCAAAGTATTTTCCAGTTGGAAAGTGAATCTGGTTGGTACTTTTATGAGTACGAAATTGAAAATTCACAAGAGATTTTAGAAGCGTCGGGAACACCAAAAAAAAGGTATAATAATTTTATCTTGGTTCTTGGTTATC